TACTCCTTACGAAGCAACTCCCTGGTCTGCAGGGCAGGTGCTTATGCTAGAATAAATCAGCACTGTTCCGAGCTCTGCATGAATTGAGAAGAAGGGTCCTCCACTCTGGTCTCATCGGTGAGGGTGTGCCAGGACTGACACGGGGCCCAGAAGCCCTCTCATCAGAATCAGCCCAGCTCTGGATTTCATTGTATTGGACTGTGGCTCCTGCCCAATAGCCTTCAGCACTGTGCAGGAGGGAGGCTGCACTGCTACTGCCCCTGCAGAATTCTCCAGGCCAGGGGAGTGCTTCACCCCCTCTGCTGCTGGGTCAGAGGGGCAAGTTGTGCCCCCCTTTGTTTCTTCCTTCAAATCTGTTTGTTGGTGGCAGCGTGTGGCTCATTCATAGATTAACATACTCCTTCCCTTCTGCTGTGGCTTGGAATGTCCATGTAGTTTGGCTGACCCTGGTGGCCATTGCTTAAGGGAGCAAGCATATTTTTATTGTAAATTTTATTTGCCATTGCCTGTGATGTTCCGTGTTCCAGCTCTCTCCCTGTCCCTTCTTCTTTTCCAAATTAAATAGGCTTGGTTTGGAGATGAATATAATCCATGAAATCCCTGTGGAATACATGTTCCCTTTTACCACCCTTTGACACAATGCTGGGACTGTGTGCACTGTTCATGTTTGAAAGCTGAGCATGTGTAAGAGCACAAATAATTACTGCTGATCATTTTTGGGTAGGGCAGTGCTTTTTTTTCTTGTGCTGAAGGAGTAGAAGCAGATGCCTTTAAATTACCCTATGGAGGATTGTTTGTGCATATACGTGTTTGTGGCACCTGCCAGTCCCGAGCTTACAGCTTGGTCCTGCTCCCTCTTCTTTCAAGCCTCTGAGAATCAACACATCTTTCTCTGTAGGTAGCAGAGTTGTTCTTTACCCCTGTTTCAGTTGGAGGAGACTATTCGTCCTCCCTTACCTGATGTTACAATTGACATTCAGTGTAAAGTAGGGCTGGTGCTGGGAAGAAGTCAGGGATATGGAGTTAGCTGTCCCTTCCCTCTGAGAGGCAGTGTGTGCCACAGCTGGCAGGGTGCATGTGCTTGGCCTCAATGCAGGAAAAGCTGATGGTAACTTACAGAGTATGCAGGCAGCATGGACAGAACAGAGGTCTGGTGGGACTGGATTGAAATAAAGTGCATGGTATGTGAAAGATCTACTTGCATGCACGTTACGTTCTTCCAGGTTCTGGGCCAGTTCAAAGCAACTACTGGTGAAATGGGAGTGGCTGTGATCCAACAGGCACAGGAAAGCTGTCTTGTTGCTGTGGCTGGGGATGTGCTGGTCTTCATGTAAAAGCAGTGTCCCTTCATCCAAAAAAGGCTGCCCTTAAGCTGAGAGCAAACTGTGTTTTCTTCCAATTTTTGTGACTGAAGCTGCAACTCCTTTGTGTCCAAATTGTTAAAAATCAACTGAAATTGAGGCACCTGTACCTACAGAAAGAGTTTCAATCATTGCAGGCTGAGCCCTGTCTTCACCTCATCCCATTCTGTTCCTTCAGCTCCCTGTTGCAAAAGCAAATCTGTTTAAATTTTGCCATGAGCTTGAGGGCAAAACCAAGACTGTAATCTAATTTCTGTAAGTCTTGAACCTAGTGTAGCTTTCCATGGAGCTCCCTGGCCTCTTGCTGCTCTTCATCTCCCTCTGCCCAGAAGGAGACTTATGGAGAAAAGGAACATGAGAACATGACACAGAGACCAAGTTTAGGAGTAAACCTCTACAGGAGAGAGACCTTCTGCAGTGGGTCCCATGGAGCATGTTGTGTGTGCAAGGCTATCTTAACAAAGCCTGCAAAGCTCAGTGAGATGCTGCTACTTACACAAAGACCTGCAGGGAGTCATAGGGAGAACCTGCATGGGAAGCTTGGAGTAGCCAAGTCATAGTTGCAGAACAGGTGTGAGATATTTATCCCCAAATTTCTTTTCAGTGCTAGAGACAGGATTATCCTAGTATTCAGTATCCTGGTATTCAGTGTCAAGATTAGATGTCTGTAAGAAAAAGGGGTGTGAGGTTAGAGGTGACAGTCTCTACAGAAGACAGATCACTTCTAGGTAGGACACGGAAACAGAAGTTGCTTAAAATTGGCTATGCCTCAGGATTACAGGGAAAAAAAAATAAGATGGGGATTGGTGACTGATTTCCTGTAGAAGCTGCCCTCAGAAGATGACTTTCTCAGCAGTGCCCTGGAGGAATGTGGAGTATTTCCAGTGCTGCTTCAGCCTGTCTTGTGCAACCACCCCACCCCAAAAGCACAGCTGTTGTCAGAGGTATTCTTAATTTGAACTTTGTTAATGCAGTGGTGGTGCAGAGCTCTGCAGGGAGCAGTTCTGAGTGCATTTGCAAGCCGTCTAAGTGCTAGGTAATAGGATCGGGCTCCTTGCAGGCACATGCACTTGCAGGGGGTGATGGTGGCTGCAGCAAGTGGTTCCATGTGAGCTGGTGGATGGAGTTGCAGTTGCGGTGCATCTCCAGGCCAGCAGCAGGGCTGAGGTGGAGGTGGTCATGGTTGCCAAGGCCCCTGAAAATGGCTGGCCAGAGCTGCTCCACCCTGCTCCCCCCAGGTGGAGGACAGTGATATTTGGTAGGTCCAGAAAGAATCTGCCCTCCAGCATGGGGAAGAGGTGGTGGTGCTGCAAAGTCATCTTTGTGGTGGCACAAGGGATGGCAGTGAGGACAAGCTGGCATTGGAGGCAGCAGACGTGATGCTGCTAGACAGAGTGGGAGCAGCTCAGGGGGGCATGAGGGCTCAGCCACACTGGTGACACACAGCAGGGTAGAGTGAAGACCAGCAGCTGGAGCACCAGCACTGTAACACCAAACAGCCACTGCTCCCTTCACCTGGCCATCCTTGAGGCAGCCACCGCTCTGAGACAGGTCTTGGTAGCTTGGTGCAAGCGACAAACTCCTCGTGGTGACTCCTGCCAGCCCATGGCTAGTTCATCCCCTCTGGACCTACATTCCCCATGGTCCTCCCTGCACAGCAGAGTGGAGATGAGCACAAGGATCGGTGCTTCTGAGCCTCTCATCCCATCACTACAGTTGGGTGGTCATCGTGTGCTGGGGAACAATAAGCACCCCAGGAGCTGGCAGGGACAGAGGGGATGTCAACCCAAGGCTTTGGCCAGGGAGGCTTTGGCCATCAGGGAGGTTTGCAGACCCTGGCCAACATGTCCGTCGCCTGCAGGTGGCACCAGGATGGCACATACTAGTTCTGGCAGCTGAGAGTGGTGAAGAGGGAAGGGCTTGAAGGGGAGAGAGACACTAGTAGCAAATCTTTCAGGTTTCTGTTGGGCTGCAGATCTGTTCGTGGTCCCTGGGAGAGCAAAATGCAGAGCCAAAACAGAAATGACAGTCAGAGAGGGAAAACAAAGGCCTCCATGTGCTTCTGCGGGCAAACATTTCACATGGGCATTGACACCAGTGGTCTCTTTGAAACAAGTGGAAGAGCAAAATTAGGAGAACTTGAGGCTGTCAACATGGCATGGCCCCACAGCCCACCTTGCCAGCTGCCCCTTTCTGCACCTTTCTGTCACCTTTCTGCCCTGCACCTCGTGTCTTCTGTCACTGTGCAGCCAGAAAAGGGAAGAACCCTGGGAACAGCAAGTGCACGTCCTGCCCAGGGTCCGGCTGGATTAGTGCTGTGACACGCCAGCTTTTGGCTCCCCTGTGCTGGTGCTCCCACCCTCCTGCATGGCATGGGAGAGGCGATGTCTGGGTCACTGCCCTCTCTCCAGGGGTGCTCTACCCTCCCTCCCTCCCTCCTTCCCTCCTCCTCCCGCGTTCCTGGCTCTGTCCGGCCAGCACTGCTGGCAAAGCAACACAAGGGAGCCCATTCAGCTCTCGCTTCTGCAAGGAGCGTCCGCAGCGGCGCAGGAGCTCAAAAGCCACTGGATGCAGGAGAAGCGAAGGGGGCTGCTTTCTTCTCTTTCTTTGCCACTTCTTGAGGTCCAGGTACCCCCAACCCCCTGGATGCGTGACCCCCCCCGAGGTGTGGGGGAGGGAGTGCTGGGATGATGCCTGGCACATGGCCCAAGTGTGAGCTGGGGGCTGAGCTGGGGCCATCGCGTTGGTGACACTTGCTGGTGGCTGTGCAGGATGGTGGGGTGACCCTAGGATGGGAGGGGGGGCTGCGGCAGGAGTGGCTGTGGCGATGGCAGGAGGGCAGAGTGGGGGTGGGAGGGGGACATAACGAGACATGGTGGGTAAAGGGGTAGGCACTATGGTGGCTCCATGGGGGGGGGGGATGTATTTGCCACACCTGCAGCCCTGCTGCTCTCTCTGTGCTTATCCCAGCCTTGGCCTCTCTCTGGCCCCTCCACCCCAGGGGCTTGCTCCTTCCCAGCCAAAACCAACGCGTCCTTCCTGCAGCTAAACAGTGGAGATCTATTCCAAAAACTGCTATGAATAGCTCAGAGCAGGGGGAGGAGGGTGGGCAGCCTGCAGGGTGGGAGGCAGGAGGCAGCCAGAGTGGTGGAGATGGGACATTTGCAATGAAAAGCAAGACGGCAGCTCAGAAAGCCAGCATGGACACATCCCCTGGGTGGCTGTACCCGCTCACCTTACAAAACACAGGCCTGGATTGTAGGAGGATTGTTGATACACTGTATAGGTCAAGACAATGTTATGCTGATGATATATGATGAAAATTGGGAAGAGGGGAGGGGGGAAGAGTTTGTCTGCTCTAAGCCTGTTCCCCTCAAGCGCCTGCTGAGTAGGCGCTCCCAAACATCCCTCAGTGACATAACCCAGGGAAAAGCTGTTTCCAAGTGGAGACCTGCTATCTCTGACCCTTGCTTTTCATTCTATTTTTCTCCTTCTTCTCATGCTCTTAAGATGATGAGACCTGCCCCATTAGGTCACAGCAAAGTCCACCAGTAAGCGATGCTCTTTAGGGACACACAGGAGCCTGGCCCCTCTCCTGGCCTCACTTCCACCTCTCCTCAGCCACAGGTGCCCTTTGCCATGAGGCTGTGCTGGGGGCTCCTCCTGCTCACTGTGGCTCTGGTACTGGGGGGGACGGCTGCAGCTCGCTGCCCCACACCCTGCATCTGTGACAACCTCCATGCCCATGTCCTCTGCCTCAATGGGAACCTGACAGCTGTCCCCATTGCTATTCCACAGGTGGGTAAAGGAATGGGCAGGGGACGGGGAAAGAGAAGGGGGGGATGGCAGCTCTGGGGTAACTCAGTGTTTTATTCATGTGACCGACAGCTCACCAAAAAACTGGACCTTCGGGGCAACAGCTTCACAGTCATCCCAGTGGAAGCCTTCCTTGCCACCCCATACCTCACACACTTGGACCTGCAGCACTGCAAGGTGGAAAGGCTGGAGGAAGGGGCTTTCCGGGGGCTAGGGAGGCTGGTCCACCTCAACCTGGCCTCCAATGGCATAGCCCTCCTCTACCAGGAGTCCCTGGATGGGCTTTCATCCCTTCAGCACCTCACCCTGGAGGGGAACCGCATTGAGGAGATCCAGCCAGGTGCTTTTGGCCATCTGGGGTCTCTCACTGTCCTCGACCTGAGGGCAAATGCCTTGGTCTACCTCCCAGACATGGTCTTCCAGGGTTTGCAGGCCCTCAGGTGGCTCCGGCTGTCCCACAATGCTCTCCATGTGCTGGGCAGCGAGGCCTTTGCTGCCCTGCCTGCCCTGCGCAGGCTGAGCCTGGACCACAACGAGCTGCAGGCGCTGCCGGGAGAGGCCCTGGCCAGGCTTGATGGGGCCACCCGGCTGGACCTGGGCCACAACCCCATCACCTACCTGCCCGAGGAGGCCCTGGCCATGGCCTCTCTGAAGCACCTCTCCCTGGACCATGCCGCTCTCCAGGACGTGGCACCCGATGCCTTCACCCACAGCCCCCAGCTGCGAACGCTGGACCTCCGCAAAAACCAGCTGCGGGGGCTGCTGCCCCTGGCTGGGGCCGGGGAGCTGGCGCGGGTCAGCCTGGCGGGGAACCCCCTGCTCTGCTCCTGCCTCCTGCGCCCCTTCCACAGCTGGCTGACCAGGGCGCGGGTGCAGGCAGAGGGCTCCTGTGCTGCACCCCCTGCCCTCCGTGGCCGGGCCCTCGACTCCCTGCGGTCCCTCGAGATGCGGTGCGGCCACCCCCGGCCGCCCCCTAGACCCCCCACCCCCTCGGAGCAGCCAAGGGGGGCCGGCAGCGGGCAGTGCCCCCGGGGGTGCTCCTGCTCCCCTGATTTCCGTCACGGGTCCTGCGAGAACAGGGGCCTGCAGGAGATCCCCCGGGGCTTCCCCAAGGACAGCCGCCTCCTCGACCTGCGCCGAAACACCTTCGGGACAGTGCCTCCAGGTGCCTTCCCTGGCCTGAAGGAGCTGGTGTCCCTCCACCTGCAGAGCTGCAGCATCAGGGTGCTGCTCCCTGGGGCGCTGCAGGGGCTGGAGAGCCTGGTCTACCTCTACCTCACCGACAACCACCTCTCCACCTTGGCAGCTGCCACCTTCAAAGGGGCTCCACAGCTGGCCTACCTCAACCTGGACCACAACACCTTCACCCACCTGCCTGCTGGCGCCTTCCAGCTCCTGCCCAACCTCATCTCCCTCCACCTGCAGCACAACGCCATCAGGGAGATAGGAGAGCGTGACCTGGCCGGGACCCAGGGGCTGCGCTGGCTCTACCTCGCTGGGAATGCCATCAGGCACATCTCCCCTGCTGCCCTGGCTCCTGCCAAGATGCTGGAGAAGCTGCACCTGGAGGAAAACCACCTGGCGGAAGTGCCCACAGCCGCCCTGCGGGGCCTGTCGGCCCTTAGTGAGCTGAAGCTGTCCCGAAACCCCATCAAGCGCGTGCAAGATGGTGCCTTCCTGCCAGTGGCCTCCAGCCTGCAGCACCTCTACCTGGACAACATGGGCCTGGAGTGGGTGCGCATGGCTGGGGAGCCCTGAGGGGCAGGGGCACCACGGGGCACAGCCATAGGTCTCATCTTGTTGCACCACCCAGGGCTGGTGGTACCTACAGAGGCATCCAAGCGGCCCCAAATGCCGGAGGCTTCAGGAGGTGCTGGGAGTAGAGGTTTCCTTGGGCTCAGCTGGAGCATCATCTTGCTCCCACCTGTCCCCGAGCTCCTCCAGGACAGCCTTGCTCCTTCTGTTCCATGAAGATGTCCAGTTTCAGTGGGGTCCAGACTATTCCCCAAACCACCTCTTTCCCCCAATATTTCTTCCTGCTCTTACTATGAGCAGCTGTCCTGTGGGACTCTACCCCAAATTCCTCCATGCCCTCAAGAAAGTGGTGTTACCATCACTCTCATGAAGACCACTCACCTTAACAGTGCCCAAGGATTGCTCTAAGACCTCCTGCATGTCACCTACTTTCCAGGAAGACTGAGCAGGGTCTAGTGAGTCCCAAAATGTGTCTGAAACTGGTTTTGTTAATGACAGTCCTCAAGGACATGTGCTGTTGTTTAGAATAGCCCTTTCCCAGGGCTGTCCGGTTCAGGATAGGTTCTCTCAGCCCCACCAGCTGATGAGCAATGCAGGGGCAGAGATTTGCTCCTCTGCTTCCATCAGGATCTCCCTGACTCACCTTCACTTTGTTGCAGATTTCCCCTGGTGCCTTCTCTGGCCTTGGTCCCAAGATCAGAAGCCTCTACCTGGAGAGCAACAAAATGAGCAACATCCCCAACATGAGCAACTTCACGGGGCTGGAGATCCTCAACCTGAGGGACATTCCTTTCCACTGCGACTGCCAGCTCCTCCCCCTGCACAGGTGAGTGGCACAGAGGGGAACAGGCCTGAGGGACAACCTGGCTGACAGCAGGACCCTGCCATGCCACAGGCATGAGCACATGGCATAATGGCCATTTTGGGTCTTCTCCCATGGTGGGGAGATGGAGCACATGCCTACGCCTCTAGATCTAAATGGAAGACTGAAAGGAATGTGCTAGTCCGGTGTACAAACACTCAGATAGTCAAAGGTCACCCAGGTGAGGTCCTAAGCAACTTGGCCTGGCTTTGAAGCTACCTGTGCCCACTCATGGGCATGGAATGTCACCTATCCCTTCACCCCATCCCACTCCTTTCCCGCATCTCCAGGTGGATCAACAAACTCAACCTCCGTGTAGGGGCCACCTGCATGTCCCCTGAACAAGCTCAGGGGCTGAAGGTGAAGCTTTCCACCACTTTCCTAACCTGCCCTGGGCAGGGAAAAGGTGAGGCTGGGGGAGCCAGTCCTGACAAGGCCAAGGGTGTGAGCAAGCCCAGCAAGGAAAAGAGATGGGGAAAATCAACAGCCAGAGGCTTCAAGAAGAGCAGAGCTTAAGAAAAACATGCAGGACACAACAGGTCCACACCTACAGCTTGGTGAGGGCAGCTTTGCTGGATTTGTCCCCACCACAGCCACATGGACATTGCACAAGTTGCAAAGGAGAGAGCCTGGTGCCATCAGAGATGCCAATTTGCCAAAGATGCAGGATCTATTTTTACAGGACACAGGGGCACATTACCCTGAAAAGAACTGGTGCAAAAAGCTTCCATAGTATTTCCAACATGATTGGAGGACTCAACAATGCCAAATACTTGCATTGTCTTCCCAAGGTTCCTTTCAGCCATGCAGCTGGAATCTACAAGTTTGTTTATACTTTTAAGAGCCCCGTGCTTTTGTTGTTGTTCTTGTTGTTTTAAGAGGCTTCACTGCTTTAGAAACAATTAAAGAGCCCTGAGAAGGACTTTGAAGAGCCTCAGTGCAAGACCCTGCACTGGCTCAAACCTTCGAGCAGAAAACTTCAAAATTATCATCAGTGAGAACATCACCTGAACTCCCAGCAGCTCCTCAGAAATAAAGCATAAGCAGATTGAAAGCTTTCTATTTCCTGCTAAATTTGATCGGTGCTTCCCGCTTCCCATCCATAAGTGACATATCCAATCTACACCCCATGGCAGCCCTAGTAGAGATGTCCCAACCCCAGAAGGAACACAAGGTGGTTCTTTTTAAAGTCAGAAATTTGTTCAAATTGGGATGGCTTGAAAAGGCAAACACTTCTAGTTGTTAAATGACCACATGGAGCATGGAACTGTTTACATAGAATCATGGAATGGTTTGGGTTGGAAGGGACCTTAAAGACTATCTAGTCCCAATCCCCCTTCATGAGCAGGGACACCTCCCACCAGACCAGGTTGCTCAAAGCTCCATCCAGCCTGGCCTTGAACACTTGCAGGTATGGTGCATCCACAGCTTCTCTGGACAACCTGTTCCATTGTCTCACCACTTCCACAGTAAAGAATCTCTTCCCAAGATCTAATCTAAATCAATCCTCTTCCAGTTTAAAGCCATTTCCCCATGTCCTATCACTAGAAGCCCTTGTAAAAGGTCCCTCCCCAGCTTTCCTGTAGCCCCTTTAGGTACTGAAAGCCCGTTATAAGGTCTCCCCAGAGCCTTCCCTTCTCCAGGCTGAACAATCCCAACTCTCTCAGCCTGTCTTCACAGGAGAGGCGCTCCAGCCCTCAATAAAAATCCCACACCCTCCATGACACTCATCCCATCATGGCTGCTTTCCACAGGAGCCCAGAGCCCTCCCAGGGATGGAGGGATGGGCAGAGATGGCACAGCTGTTCTGTCTAGTTTGACACAGACCATCCACACTTTTTCCACTTGTGTTTCATGGCTTCCCCCAAGGTGTTTTCTTCCCTTTCCAGTTGAAGGCTCCATTTCCCTCTTTAGAAGGGAAAAGAGGAAGACTGCTGGTTACTTCCAGTCTCTACCCTCTGTTTTGTAGATGGTGAGCTTGCCAACATTATTTTTTGGTCACGAACCACTGTACAAAGTGGGAACTATTTTGGCAACACAAGCTCTTGCCTGGAACTTGAGGGGAGCATGGCCAAGGGAACGATTTCATGGGCAAGGCAGTGTCCTGGGTGGCCACCATTTCCCTGTAGGGTTTGACAAGACACTTGCCCTACAGCCGGCCAGGCACTAACTGGCAGGACACTTCCTCACCTGCAGAAAGCTCACGGGAACTTGTTACAGGAGATTTAAAACTGTTCTTCATCACTGTAGCCACACTGACCTTTCTGATTTCTGTCCTGAACTTTGATGGCCCATCTGAGGAAAGAGAGGAATGTTACAGCTTTGCTATAAAATGGGAAATGGCATTTCCTGCCTTAAGTTAACCTGTTGCAGTCCTGTGACATTCAGCCCTGAGGTGGAACTGGCAAGTAGAGAGGAAAGAGGCACAGAGAAACCCTACTGCATGTCTAAAAAAACCACCCAAAACAGAGTTGACTGGAATGTGGCCATGGATGGTTATGTGCTTTTTAGGAAAGATAGGGCAGGGAAGCGAGGTGGTGGGGTTGCTCTTTATGTGAGAGAGCAACTAGAATGTATTGAGTTTCATGCAGGGGCTGATGAGGGGCATGTTGAAATTCTGTGGGTAAGAATTAAGGGGCAAGCAGGTGCGGGTGACACAGTTGTGGGGGTCTACTACAGACCTCCTGATCAAGGTGAGGAGGTTGATGAGGCTTTCTACAAGCAACTGAAAGCAGCCTCACAACTACAGTCGCTGGTCCTCATGGGAGATTTCAACTACCCTGATATCTGCTGGAAGACTCACACAGCCAGCCTTTCACAGTCTAGGAGGTTCCTCCAATGCATTGATGATAACTTCTTAATGCAAATGGTGGACAAGCCGACTAGAAGAGGAGCGCTGCTGGATCTTGTACTAACCAGCAAGGAGGGCCTTGTTGAAGCAGTGGTGGTCAATGGCAGCCTTGGCTGCAGTGATCATGAGATGGTGGAGTTCAGGATCCTGTGTGGAAGGAACAAAATACCCAGCAGGACCAGAACCCTGGACTTCCACAGGGCAAACTTTGGTCTCCTCAATCATCTATTAAGGGAAATCCCATGGGACAGGGTGCTAGAAAATAAAGGAGCTCAAGATTTCAAGGCCAGGCTGGACAGGACTTTGATCAACCTGGTCTACTGGGAGGTGTCCCTGCCCATGCAGGGAGGTTGGAACTATATGATATTTAAGATCCCTTCCAACCTAACTACTCTGATTTAATAATAATAATATGTCTAGGAGTGGGGATTAAGAACTTTACTCCATATTTTGTATTGGGCTTCTGACAACTTTGCCTTTCTATTTACATAAATCAGTAAAAAAACTCCCCTTTGAGCTGTTTTTGAAGACCTGCTAAGATTTTGCTAAGAACAGGCCTTTTAATTCTCATCAATTTCTCCTCTCTTTTCCAAAGAAAGGACCATGCTTTTACTTCTCTAGAACAGAGAATAGAGAAAGCAGCCTTCAAGACTTATTTTTTTTTTTTCCTTTTTTTTTTTTACATAGGGTCTAAACACTCCATGCAGATTTTGGGAGGTTTTCCCCCAAAATATATACATAGGACCTTTTCCAAGGGCTATTGAAAGGCCTTTAAAAGCTTCTTATTTTAATGATTTTACAGTGGAACCTAAAGAAAAGCAGTGCTGTAAGAAGAGCAAATATATGATTTGACTGAATAGAGAATTTCTAAAATAAAGAAAATACAGGAAAAAATAGAGATAGGTAAAGTGTTCTGGAGTAGAAGAACCAGAACAAGTTTCAATGTGGACTAAACTTGGAAGAATCTTTGAGTCAAAGAGAAGGCTAGACTGAGAAAACTGAGAACTGAAAGGATTGGAAAAGATAATATTATAACTCATGATTTCTTATCCATAGGTAAATCTGTAATGTTTAGAATAACCTCTTTTTGAAGACATACATAATAAAAACAAATGTGGTGGTAGAGAAACAGTTTTGAATTCCTGCAGATTTGCTGAGCTGTGAATTCAGAAAAGGTAAACCTCTGAAAGAGGGAATTTAAAAGCATTTTAAAATGCAACATTTAGATAAAACAAATAAACAAATAAATAAGTGGTTATAATAGAAAAATAAAAATAAAACAAAATATGGGATAATCTGAAATATTCTCTTCCATTTTTTTAAATTTGAACAACAGAAGCTGTTACCTGTCCTACCTTACTCCTAAACACTGAAACCCAGAAAGAAAAAACAAGGGACAAAAAAACCAAACCATTTTACACTCCTACAAAATTACACATATTTATATTTCAAAGAATCATTGCATTCTAATTATTCACAGTACTGCTATGACTTTTCACTCTACTTTGAATTTCTTCCCCTTAATAGCAAGTCTCCTTGCTTTCTCTTTTAATGTAGCAATACTACAGAATCTAAAAGAAGAAAGGTAAAGAAAGAGAGAAAGAAGGATAGACTGAGAGTGAAAAGCCTGACAACTGTGTAACAAACAAGAACATAGTAGAAAAAAAATGTATTGTACTGAAGCTGAAAATTCTTTTTGAAAAATGTCAGAAGACCAGGTAGATTATTAAGCAATACAGTAAGATAATTATTTGTTTGCCTTGTTTGTACAATATTAACTACCTAATTTGTAAGGCATGGTGATAGAATTTAAATGCTAATAAAATCTTAACTGAGCTGATGTAATCACAACAAAACAGATTTTATATGAGTACATATCCTGTGTGGAAGGAACAAAATACCCAGCAGGACCAGAACCCTGGACTTCCACAGGGCAAACTTTGGTCTCCTCAATCATCTATTAAGGGAAATCCCATGGGACAGGGTGCTAGAAAATAAAGGAGCTCAAGATAGCTGGTCAACATTCAAGGACCACTTCTTGCAAGCACAGGATCAGAGTGTCCCAATGGTTAGGAAATCTAGTAAGGGTGCTAGGAGACCTGCATGGTTAAAGAAGGAACTACTGGGCAAACTTAAGTGGAAAAGGAAAATCTATAGATCATGGAAGGAGGGGCTGGTCACTTGGGAGGAATATAGGACTGTTGTCAGAGGATGTAGGGAGGCAATTAGGAAAGCTAAGGCCTCCTTGGAACTTAACCTTGCAAGTCAGGTTAAGGATAATAGAAAGGGCTTTTTCAAGTACATAGCTAGCAAAACTAGCAATAGAGGCAATATTGGCCCATTGAGGAATGAGGTGGGAGCCCTGGTGACAGAGGATATAAAGAAGGCAGAGGTGCTGAATGCCTTCTTTGCCTCTGTCTTCACTCCTGCAGGGTCTCCCTATGAGCCCCAGATTCATATAGCCCCAGAAGAAGTCAAGATAGAGGAAGAGTTTGACATGGTAGATGAGGATTGGGTTAGGGATCAGTTGAGTAATCTGGACATCCATAAATCAATGGGTCCAGATGGAATGCACCCAAGGGTGCTGAGGGAGCTGGCGGAGGTCATTGCTAGGCCACTCTCCATCATCTTCAGTAAATCATGGGCAACAGGTGAGGTGCCTGAG